TTCAGCATTTTCGTTTAACTTTAGTTTCCTATCCATTATTTTTGAGTTGAGACAAATGAATTTAATATAAGTGATCAGGAGTATTTAATTATAAGCTTTTTGTTAATTTACAGAGCGTTTTCTTTCTCATTTCCTGGAATCAAATATTCTCGATATAGCAAATTATAATAAAAACTCATTCATTAATGCCATATACAATAATAAAACTTTGCACATATTGTATACATCACCCATCCGGTATAGTGGCTAGCGACGCTGACTGCTGTATTGAGCCTGTTTTCGAATCCCGGAGAAAGAATGGATGTTAGTATATGTATAGTATTTTCGACATGGAGGTACTCTAAATAACCGTCGAGCCGCAAGTCTGCTCGTGAGGTTGTTGGAAAAGCAAAAGAGGTGGGAGGCCCCTGACTATCCCCAAGGTTTTCTCCCTCGAAATTGAGGTGGAACCGAGCAAATTCGTACTGTCACAGTACTGAAACAGGCATTACTGTAAATTAAACCTAAGAAGTATTCATATATTCAGATGTATATATTCAGTGTATTCCTACTACAAAATATTTTTTAATAAATACGCTTTATCTATTATAGAGAAATAAATATTATGTTTTATAGTTTTAGGGGTTATGACTGTTCATGATGGTGTATCTAAGCTTATACAGAAAAAGAAACATACGGATTTGTCACTATTTGTTTCCATATAATCTAAATCGTTAAACAGCTTCTTTTAAAACACAATTAAGATTTCAAAAAGCTGTTTATCTTTCACTTTTTTAACAATTTCGTAGTAAAATTAAATTTGAATCATAATTTAATTTTAATTATTAATAATAATACCAGTCATTGCAAAAACGAAATATATTTCATTTAAACTACATGGTTCAGCTTTATATGTAGACTGCTGAATTTATTTATTTATGTTTTTTTACTGTTATTTGTTTACTGTTTTTTTAATATTTATTTGATTTTAAATATATATGTATAAACTACATTAAAGCTATTACATAATATTATTGAAGGGATTTTTATTTAAGCAATGTCACGAACATTTTTCATTTAATCTTAACGAATAGATAAACTTTCCTGGCATTATTTTAGGAACTAAAATAAGTTTTGAATTTTTTTATTACTAAAGTCTCATTTAAAAACAAATCATGGGAATTTTGAATACTTGAATTGAAAAACAATTTTGTTTGGAAATATAAGGAGAAAAATCAATGAGAGAGAGAGAAAAGACAAAAACATGAAAATAAAAGAAGTTTAAGTAATTTCTTTATTTGTTTTGCAATTGTGCATTATTCCTTGTTGTGCGCTAAGTATATTTACAGATAGATGAAAACTTTATTAATTAACAGTTAAATTACATTTCTATTCATTTTCGCATCGTTTGTAGGTATACCCTTGTTAAAATATACAAAAATATTATAGCAGATGAGTTGATAGTTATTATTAACACACACACACACACTTTTATAAAATTCTTCTTTAAATTCAATTATTATCTTCTTAAGCCAATTCATACTTTACAACAAATCTTCTGTATAAGTAAACGTTTACAGTAATATGAATATGAAATACAAAGGAATTTACATTATAATAACTTTTAACAGTTTTTTTAAGAAAAATATACATTGTAAATAACTTAAATTAAAATTAATTCAATTAGTTCAATATAATTGCTCAGTGAGTGAATTCCGTTGAGGAATCTAATTACTTGCGATAACTTTTTTTAAAAAAATGGAAATATGATGATTTTTTGTGGTTCTTAGATTTATTTAGTACATTTTAAGAAAAACATACTAAAGTTAAAGAGAGAAAAAGACATTAGTACAACTAAAATGGGAAAAAAGTGATAAAAATTTACAAAAAATAACATAAACGGGAGCCATTCTGTACAAAAAGTTTATGAACAAATTTAAAATTTTTCAATTTTGATGTGATGCTTTGCTATTCATTTTTGAAATGAATTTCAGGACAGGAGATATTTTAATTTTTACAAAAACTAGTGCATTTTATCATAGTTATTATATGAAATTTCTTAAAAAGCGTTGATTATATTCACTTAAGGGACTGCAGATTTTGCAACTAAGTGATTGGTACATCTGAAGGTTAAAACACTTCTACTATTTTATAGAATATGCAGAAAAAATTTCAGTTAATTATTTTCAAATTTTTTTTAGCAACCGCTGTCACCGTTTGAGCATTTAAAGAAACACACTTTGAGTGAAGTGCATTTTAAAGTAGGCCATCTTGCTTAAAGTAGCAGCATCAGCCTATACTTAAAAACTGGTAGTTTTTGTTCTAGTGAAAGGAAAATAATAAACTTGGTATTATTATAAAGATAATAAGATGGCCTAAAAAATAAAATAATAAAAAAAAAAAAAAATGTCATTTTTAGGGTAGTCGGATACCTTAATAAAAATATCAAATATATTTGCTAAGCAAAATATTAAATTTAGAGCAAAGAAGTACTTTTAGAAGACGAAATTCTATGAAGTTTTTTCGAATACTACATCGTTCAACCACCTTCTTCATTCGACCAAACACGACTAACCAGTCTTTTTCTCCGAACAATATACACCGACGATAATTAAACAATCGGTTCCCCTCCCCACTCCCCCCAAAAAGGCCAAGACGCCATCACCGTGATAAATGAATCCAGAATGATAAATTAGTAACAATGTAATTAATTTATTTTCCCCTTCTCCGGTAAATTATCTTTACTACCAGACTATACAAGAACGCGAGAGGCAATACGCACCACTCCCACATAAACAGAACAAAAGCATTCTGAACAACGGAGAGGAAAATATATATATATAAAAAAAAGAATTCTTGCAGTAGCGGTGACCGACATGAAATGTTACGGAGGTTAGAAACTACTGGGTAGGAGCTTCTTAATTAACCCGAAAGGATTCCGTTAAAATCTACTTAACCTTCGCCTTAACAAACCCCAAAAAAGAATAATAAATAATAAAAATGATTCAGAAATTTCACCCTTTCCGTGAATGTTTACCAAGATACTTGAGAGCCAGAGAATTCGACCTTCTCCGCAAAAAGAAATGAAGATCTTTGACATTTTGAATGTCAAGGTTAAGTTGACTTGATTAGCAAACAAAAAACAAAAAAAAACCCGAGTTGAGTGTATTTTGTTCTTCTGTTGATAGGATTATAAGATTATGCAGTATCGTTTGGCATAAAATAAACTTCAGGGGAAAAAAACAGCAGTCCATTTTTAATGGAAATTAAATATTAGAAAAATTTTAGTTTTTTTTTATTATAAATACATGTTTAACTCAGTTTTAATATCAGTTAGTACTCTTATACAACAGTAAAAAAGGCTGTTGAAATTTCGAAATCGTTTGAGAAATTGCAGGTGAATTTTCGTGTTATTCTTATCTTATGATGTGATTATGAATATGCGATATTTAATATGTGATTTTTACCATAATACGTACATCTGCTAAAGGTTAAAACAACAAATTAAACAATAAGTAGCGCATTAAATGATGGTAGTTTTGAAAACAGATGCCGTATTTAAATCTTTTAAATTATAAGAAAATATTTATTTCAATTGTTAAAAGTGCTTCGGATATAGTTTTATGTCAAAAACGTATAATTTAAATACCACTTAGGACATTTAAGTCATTTTCTAGGATTCCAATGATATTTTTATACACTAAAACTTCTAAATTCTATTATTTTAAGCCATCCATTTTGCAGTATTTTATTTTCTCGAAAGTTTTAAGTACATGTATTTAAAATATGCTCAAATACATAAGTAAAAAGATTTTTTTGTCAAAATTTACAAAAAAATAATGGAAAATACAGAGTTTAATAATTGTTTATGTATTATATATTTTCATAGAATTCTTAATATGTTATTTTTGTAACATTTTATTTATAAATTATCTTTTTTGGGTATATTCTTTTATTTCGATGAATAATATGAACAAGAATTTTTGCATAAGCCAAATAACAAATAAACAGTATACAAAACATAATTTCTTAAGAGTTCAAATGGAAAAAAATATAATTTTTAGTTAGAAAACATATATTTTTCAATACTGTTGCCACTTGCGAACAAACAAAAATTAGTACTTCAATGCAGCTAATTGTGGTTCAACTAAAATACTTCAATTTAATTATATATCTAATGATTTTCTATAACGTTTATGATTTTTAAATAATTTGTAATACTAAAAACTTCATTTACCGTATGAAGTTTTTGTTAGTGAGAAAATGTCCCCATTAAACTTTTCTATAAAATCTACTAATAAACAAGTAATATAAAAAAATAAGTAAATTCCTACTTAGGTCAACAAATTTTTTTAATTATTTTTGGTACTTTTTATTAAATAGTTACAATTAATATATATATATATATATATATATATATATATATATATATATATATATACTAGCTGCATGGCCCGGCGTTGCACGGGCTCTCTCTACTTTTATATATAAATTTTCCCTTTCTTTCACAAAATCAGAGCTTCTAATAATACTCATTTTCAAAATGACTCCCCCTCCCTCCTCCGCTCAGCCCGGCGTTGCTCGAGCTTTCTCTTTTCCTCATGACACCAGCATTTCTGTGTGTGTGTGTTTGTACGCGCACAATGTGAGTGATTTCTAAAATTGTGTCAAAAAATTTCCCTTTTTCGAAATAGATGCATTGCCCGGCGTTCCACGGGCTGTCTCTACTGTTACGCGAATTTTCCCTTTCTTTCACAAAATCAGAGCTTCTAATATTCATTTTCAAAATGACTTCCATCTCCCCCCCCTCCACCGCTTAGCTCAGTGTTGCTCGGATATGACAGAATCACAATATTAAGTTGCAAAATAGAAAGCGATGCTCCTTGCAATTTTCCATTTTCCTTTTTATATATTGGGTTGGAATATTATTTTTGTTTTTGTTACTATTTATTCATTTATTAAATTTAATTATTCCAATAAAATAGTATAGTAAAAAGAAATCACATTCTCAAAAATTAGACCATCCCAGGTGGGATTCGAACCCACGACCTTTGGATTAGAAGTCCAACGCGGAATCCATTGCGCTACAGGTACAGAGGGAGTAATATTCCTTTTTATATGTGGTGTTGGTCTATAACTTTTGTTTCTTTTACTATTTCTTCATTAAATAAATAGGATTAAAGAATTGATATTTGAAAAAACTGTATTAACATCAAGTGTCATTTACTGCAAGTTTGAAAAAAATGTATTTAAACTTGAGTAGATGAATAAAAAGTATTTTATTAACGATTAAAAATTTGAGCAAGATGTATATATATATATTGTTATTGTACTATTGTGCTTAATATTTCCTATCTTGAATAGTTATACTTAGGTTCTATAGCTATCTGTATATATATATATATATATATATAGATATATTTATGATGAATTATATATATATATATGGATTATATATATATGGATTATATATATATATATGGATTATATATATATATATATTTATGGATTATATATATATATATTTATGATGAATTATATATATATATATGGATTATATGTATATATTTATGGATTATATATATATATATATAAAAGAAATATGTATTATATATCAAAAACAAGAAATAATAGATGAAGAACATAACAAGAAATAGCGTAATAAAAATATAAAAGCTGAACATGAAGAACAAAATTATAGAGAAATAAAAAAACTACAAAAAAGAAGAACCTAGCGAGTCAGAAAGCAATTTCGGACTTAGGACCGAATAAGTGGGGTTAAAACTAGTTTGAAGGCAACAACCTTTATATATATACAACCTTCCCCCTTTGCAACTCGGAAGGAAAACCAAATAAAGTAAAATAAACAAAACTTCAGAGTATGGATAACTCAGAGAGCATGATAAAACCACTCACTACTATTATGTAACAAACTCTCCCAAGCTCTTAATGCAGAAAAATCACAAAATAATTACGTAAGAAAAGTAGAAAAAATGCTAAAACAATTACATAAGAAAAGTATCTTTCAAAAAATAATTTAACAAAATTTCTATACTCACAAAGCTTTTACGAAGAGAATCATGCGTCTTGCCATTAATGAAAATCAATTATTCACCAAGTTAAAAAATTCGAAAATACATAAACACATCTTTTGAGCTGACTTTTAAACCATCCAGCAAAGACAGGTATAAAATGACGACAATCAAATATGGTAAAATTTTAATTGGTTGATTGTCAAAAATGTAAATTTGCTAGGCTCTAATTTGGTTGGTTGTCAACAATGTGTAAAATGTTAAAGATGTGTGTGGAAAAAATGTAAACTGTGATATGAGTGTTATGATATAATCTTCACAGCAAGACCACTAACACGCTGACTTTGAAATCCTATGTTTGTGTGGTGGTTTTGGAATTCGAAGTAGCAAGACGGTTAATGTATTTGTGATGAATATAAGTTCTTAAGAAATTAAAAGGGTATTCATGATCTAAACAACATTGAAAATTTTTTTTTATATTATTGTATTTATCTATTTTGTGGGTAGTTAAGCTATCATTTCTAAATAAAAAATTCAAAATGATATTTCTGTAAATTGATATATGTAAATTACTATTCCATACGGGAATTTTAATTATATGGAACTTAAACGAATCTCTTTTGTCAAAAATGTTACTGACTACATTATTGTTAATAAGATGCAAGTCTAAATCCAAGAATTCCACCATATTAGAGTTGAAGTTAGTTTTAAGGAGCTTGAGATAATCAGGGTAGAACGTAATATTTGGTTTGTATTCACTATTTTTACCAAAAATTATTATATCATCTATATAACGATAAATTAAGTAAGAATCATTTACAACATGATCTATTTCAAAAAAATGTAAATATAGGTTCGCTAAACAATTACTAGCTGGACCACCCTGAGGTAATCTTTTGATCTGTTTATAAAGATTCTGATCAAATGTAATGAAATTTTCTTTTAATACGAAGTTAACAAGAATATCAAATTTTTCTTTTTTCATTGAAGTATATAATTCATATTTATCATAAATTAACTGTAGAATCTTAATCATATCGTCAATATCTATAGAATTAAAAAGTTCCTCGAAATCAAAACCATGCATAGAAAAAATTAACATATCCTTAGTATATATATATATATATATATGTGCAGGGAAAGTGTGAACTGATAGTAGGACTTGAAAAAAAATCATATAAGCATTCTAATATTTATAGAATAATAACTTCAAGAATTCTTCCAGAGATTTTTGGAATTCTTGCATGCGTATAAAAAAGCTTAACAATTTTTTTAAAAAATGACTTGAAACGATTTATTCTGAGTTGACAAATACCTTGTGTCAAATGTCAACTTGAAGTACAATACATTTTCTTTCTAAAAAAGAAAAAAAACCTAAATACATAATTAAAGTCTCTTTTTGAAATAATGTGAAAGAGGAGCAATATATTTTACTTGATATAGTGTTGCATTGTAAAACAAAATGAACTCGAAAGACACATTTCTGTGTAAACATAACCAACAAATTCATTTCTTTTTCTGTTATCGTAGAACTTTTTTGTTTTTAAAATCATTGTTTGCTCTGAATAATTTTAAGCTGTAAAAATGTCAGAATGCTAATTTGTAGTATTCTTTACTTCATTCCTACTATGAATATTGGATAATTAGCACACATAAAATTTGTGATTAGAAGCTTTTAACAATGCAATATTTTTAATTGATAGATTTATATTTAAATGAAAAAAAGTATTAAAAAAATTGAATGACATACGAAAAATAAATTCTAGAATTAATTATATTTTTCAGGAATTAATTTCGTTAAAAGTTTTATTACAGTAAAACCTGTTATTGTGTAGTTGCTAGGAACCGCATAAAAAGAAACCGCACAAAAAATATTCGAAAATATTTCATAAATACTTACGTAAAACAAACAGCTTTGCCGGCATACTATAGATTTTTTTATGCGGCGGAGAGGTACCGCATAAAAAACGTCGCAGTAAGAAAATGCGTCAATTATTTACGAAATGTTTGAAAAAGTGCTTCTAAACAAAGTAAATATTTATATTACACATGGAAACCTCTCAAAAATATTTAATTTCTCATTGTAGGAGTGGAAAAGTTTTCAAAATGCACATACTACATAGTTCACTGCTACTCGTCGTAATTCAAAGCTCTCAACTTTCTGTGATGAATTAGTTCAAAATCGCTTTCGTCACTTGAAGATACAATTTCAATTAATTTATTTTGTGGCATCTTAAAGTAAGTGATAAGTTTCTGCAACGACGGTCGGTTGATCAGTTGCTTGTTAATGTCACAATAACTTGATATGCTTTGAAGCTCTTTATGGAATTTTAAACTCCTTTCGGAATTGGTATCTATTTTAAGAAAATGCTTTTCCGATTTATTGGAAAGCTGAATCTGTGTGTGTGTGTGTGCGTATATTTTATCCGCTCTCAAAGAGTCCGATTCTTCTTGTCCGTGTTTATTATCTTTGACATTATTGATTATGTCACTGTCATTGACAGTTTCGTTTTTAATCAAGCGCTTGCTGCTAGTGCGTTCAGAGAAAGTAATTGTACGTGCATTGTTGGGACTGTTCATAACAAGTGAACAAAGCGCCTTGAAGTGTATATATAGTATGTACTTTGATAGGAAACAATGCAGTGGCGCCAAAGCCGTTGAAATTCATATACCCCGCAGTGTTTCTCAAACTTTCAATGCTTGTGACCTACTAATGTTCAATCCTAATTTTCATGCAACACCCTCCATACAATAATAATGTATTTTGACGTAAAGCTACACCACCTTTATTATAAACTTTAAGATAAGTATCAAATTTTGCATATGATTTTGTATATGACAAGCCAGTGGCGCACACAGGAATTTTTCAAGGGGGGGTTCGGGGTCGAAAGTTTACCATTCTTGTATCATGCTCCTTTTGATTTTGTCGATTTTCGGGAACAAAACACAGTAAAAAACTAATATTGAATAAATAATTAGCATTAATTAATAAAATTAATCATTAATAACAAATATTTAATTAAATTTTACGTACTATGTACTTAGAATTATAATCAATCGGAAAAAAAAATCAAGGTCTTGGGGGAGGGGGTCAGAACCCCCAGGACCCCCCTTGTGTGCGCCACTGTGACAAGCCCATGTGGAGGCACTAATAAATATGGAAATTGTTCTTAACTTACAAAAGAATTAAAGATCAAATTTATTATGCAGTACTGATACACTTATAAGTACCATAAAATCCGGCGCATAACGCACACCCATACTTTCAAACGGCAATTTTCAGTTTTTAGGTATGTTAGTCGCGTAGCGCGCCCTCACTTTTTTACGAATGAATCTGAAATGAACATGTGCAATGTTATTATCTTTTGAAGTCATTTATTTGAGGCATTATTACATTTTTTGAGTGTAGGGGAGCGATTCTCGTAAAATCTGTCGAGAGCTCAAGCGTCCTCCCGTTGGTGTGGTGTGATAGTTAGGAGAGGGGATGCCAGCTCAGGTGTCGTCCTCGTCACTTGATTATGGTTCAAAATTACGAGGTCCGTCACCAAATGCCCTCTTGAATCGGAACAATGCGACGTTAATATTCCCTAACTTTACAGTTTTTGAAAAATTTCACACACTTTTAGAACTGCAACAACCTTAAGTTTATGAGGAATGTCATTTCTTTTAAAAATCAGTATTCCAATCTAGATAGAAGTCTAGTTTTTTTTTATTACGCTCATCTCTATGCATAGTTTTGAAGCTACCATTTTTATATCCGGTGTATAACACGCACCCGTAAATTTTGATCTTATTTTCTGTGTTAACGATGTGTGTTATACGCCGGATTTTACGACATATAATATCATTGTAAATGTGTATTTTTTTTTATTATCTCAGAATGTTTTTTTGTTTTGATTCATTTCAATAAAAATTAATCATTTTTTAAATCTCTTATTTTCGACTTTTTGATACGCCCCTCCCCCTCCTTGGTGGGATATCAGGCCCCCTTAGGGGGGCATGCCCCACTCTTTGAGAAGTGCTGATGTACCGCATAAAAAAGATCGCACTAAGAAGTCGCAC